CACTTATCAAAGGGACACTTTGGGAAACGTTGGTGCAGGTGCGTAAGAGTGGCTATATGAATCCATTGTGGGGTCGCCCTTTCCAATAAGTGTCACGTAACAGCAATGGGACCAGGGACTCTATATGAACTGGACCCAGGGTGCTCGCCAAGAAGACAAATGTCTCCATCCTATCATCCTTCCGGCTCTGAAATGATCTTGTCAGACCGACAGGGCATAGCCCAACAAAACAAACTAAATTCGCTATCTGGCTACGTGGTGTAGAGGTTAGCGCACTAACCTCGCGTTCAAATGACACGGTGTTCGAGTCCCATCGCCGGCTGATGCTTTTGGCGTGTTGTCCCAGTACTCGTAAACATGCCGACGTCGGCGACTGGGGGGCTCGAATCCCGCCGCCGGTTGATATTTTTGGCGCGTTGTCCCAATAAACATGCCGACGTCGGCCCCGTCGGTCCAACGACAAACGATCTCGTCAACCTCGGCAAACGACCTCGGCCCGACGTCGGCTCGACGTCGGCTGGACTTCGGCTGGACGCCGGAACATGCGGGCATATCCGACGTCCAGCCGATGTCGGGCCGAGGTTGAACCGACGTCGGGCCGACGTCGGCATGTTTACTGGGGCGGCGCGAAGCGCTGCGAAAGCCGAAAATTTGCAAAAAAATGTTTGTCAAAACACAGCTCCAAACCACAAATTTTACGACCCTTTTAGCATGCTAGTACAAGCCGGAGTTCCTTAACAGTATTGGTATACACTTAGGGAATTTTGATTCAATTTGACAGGGTTGGTGTTATTACAGTCACGACCTTTTTTAATGATTGGTGTATGAATTGGAAGCGCGGAGCGCCGAGAAAATTTGCAAAAGCATTTGTCAAAACACTGCTCAAAATCACAAATTTTACAACTCTTTTAGTATGGTAGCACAAGCCGGAGTTCCTTCACACTCCACAGTACACATATGAATTCCGATTCAATTTGACAAGGTTGGTTGGTGTAATTACAGTCACGATCTCGTATTGACCTGTACGTACACAAATTTACAAAAAAAAAAAAACACACAGAGGGGCCTCCTCTCTAGAGAGGACCACCTCTCTACTGTGGACCTCCTCTTTTCACAGGGCCTCTCAACTACAGAAGACCTCCTCTCTACAGAGGACTTCCTTTCTACGGAGGATCTATCTCTTTCAGAGGGCACCCTTTCTTCAGAGGACCCCCTCTCTAGTCTCTACAGGGGACCTCCTCTCTACAGAGGACCTCATCTCTGCAAAGGGCCTCCGGCCTCCTCTCTACTGAGAAAGTCCTCTCTACAGACGGCATCCTCTCTTCAGAGGGCCTCCTCTCTTCAGAGGGCCTTCTGCTTTCAGGCGGTCTCCTTTCTACAGAGGGCCTCCTCTCTACACAGGGTCTTCTCTCTACAGATGGTCTCTTCTCTACAGAGGGCCTCCTTTCTACAGAGGGCCTCCTCTCTTAAGGGGCCTCCTCTCTATAGAGGGGCCTCCTCTTACAGAGGGCCTCCTCTCTACTGAGGAGTCAGAGGGGCCCTAGCGGTCAGACACAGACACTAGCAGTTATTCACAGGAGGCCCCAAGAAGTAAGAAGGACCCTAGCTGTCAGGCTGGTCAAAGGCCCTGAATATTCTGACGTGATTTTTGGGATTCCCTTGAATTTCTTTCGCCTTCGACGTGATTTTGGCCCCGTGGCCTTCGGCCCACGGGGGCCTCCTGAAAACCCCGAGGGGGGGGGGGGGGGCACCCCGTCCATCTTGGGTACGTCTCTGAACAATTGTCCCCATCGTTCGTCCTACCGTCCGAGTTCCACCCACGGCCTTGCACCCACCCCTAAACAAACGAAACGAAGCTGTTAAGTGTCGCGCCTTTGTTTTGTTGTTTTTTTTTCTGCTTTCTGCGCCGCTTTAGCGTGCGTTCGGCATCCGGAAAATATCGTTTGGATATTATCGGCCGGAAAATTATTGGTGGGTACCTATCTTCAACATGTCTCGTTTTTGCGATACCAAACGTAATCCCCGATAATTATCGCTGATCCCGGATAATTTTCCCTGATTATCCGGATGCCGAACGCACGCATAGTAACATCCAAGGTTTTGTGCTGTATCGTCAGCTGATTATGCCTGCGATGGCGTCAAATTCCGTAAAAAGGATTTGGCCTTCTTCTGAAGGCGAGACATAAGATATTTCTTAGAAAAAAAGATAAAAAACAGTTAAAAGTTAACCTTCGCCCCAGTGGGGGGGGGGGGCATATGTTACCACCCTGTCGCGTTTTTTGCGTGTGAATAAAAAACCGCGGCGCGTAGCGCCGCGCCGCTTCAGGTAGCTTTTGGTACATCAATTTTGGACAATGTGTGAAATTTTTGACCCCAGGTCATGTCAGGTCAGGTCACCAGGTCAAGTTAACTGACCAAGCCTAAAAAAAAGTTTGCAATCATGTCCAGCCTGCAGTGTTTGTCAGAAAGGTTTTAAACTTGGTGGATTGCATGCTGTTATGGGCGCCTACAATTTGTATATCTCGGATTTTTTATATCCGTGACCTAAGTTCAGGTCAGTGGCGTGACCTTTCCATTACAAGTCAATGGAGAAAAATGAAAATGCCTCTAGATCCGTGTGTACGCATCGGAACAGTCCAAATATTTCAGAATCACAATGATTTAGTCCACTCGTAATGACCAAGGTGTCATTTTTGCTGATAGCCTCTAGACAGGTCATCCGAGGTCACTTGAGGCTACAAACAGTTTTTTGCCAATAACTCGCGATTGGAAAGAGGTAGAACGCAGGGGATGGTCTCATTGTGTTTGTCTTGTTGAGACGCATCGACTGATATGCAACATGACCTTTTCCGGTCAGGTCATGACCTTGACCCGAGGTCAAATTTTCAAGTTGACCTTTCAAGGTCAAATTATAGTTCATTCGACGCGTCTCGGCGAGGGGAACACGATTCTGGCAATAGAAATGTCGTGGCTTTTTGTAGTCGAAAGTTATTGTCGAAAAACACTTTTCGTAAAAACAGCTATTTTGGAATTTTTGCCCTCTGGAGGCTAAACCGTTGACCTGAGGTTAATATTGTTAATGACCTTTTCAAAAGAAGAGTTTAAAAGCTATCGTTTGTTGTTCCATGCGTTTTTCTAGCTACCATAGTTCCTGAGATAGCGGCATGTTTTCTGAAAAATATAATGACAATTTGCAAATTTTGACCTTTGATGACCTCTGGTGACCCCAATATTGCTCTAAGGTGAAAAATGACCGAAATACTTTCAAACGTACGCATTGAGAGCTATCGACTGCTTTTTACCGCGTCTTTCTAGCCTTCTTAGTTTTTGAGTTAGAGATGGGTGGTAACATATGCCCCCCCCTCACTAGGGCGAAGTTGGCTGAGACCGCCACTGGGGCGCGGGTTAATGAATGTGCAAATTTCTTTCACCAAATCCATTTAAGATAATGCCAGTTTTTTTTTATTCATTATGACGTTATCATTTTAAAGATTTGACATAATCATAAACATAATCAACTGACGATATTTCACCGGCCTTGATTTCTTCTCTAGGTATTTTACTCAAATTTTACTAGTCTTGTAACAAAAACGGATGACAGCGTTCGGGAGGTGAGATTTCACTCAATATACCCTGGGTGAGATAACAGGTCTTGTAAAATACCGCAACCGAAGTTACTTGGTGACGCCTGCTGTACTGGCCATAGTACTGGCGTCCTAACATGTTGACCAATTGATTATTTCAGGCTTGCTAAAACCACAGTTGATTTTTAAGTGTAACTTCCTGGTTTTGTTTTGCTAGTATGTTCTTTCTAATGACTCGATAGTCATTTTATAAATTAAATTTACTCCCTCCGTTGCAATGCACATTTTCAAAGCCCCAGTTAGTTTTAAGGCCAAAATTGGGTAGTTAGTCGTAAAGCAGAGAGGCGCTTTACCCAGACTCCAGAGATTCTTTCTAATCGGACCAAACCAAACCAAACCTAACCAAACCTGACCATAACTCACCTACAACCTACAACCAAAGACCTGCAACCTACAACCTAAAATCTACCACCTAAAACCAAAAGCCTACACCCTACAGCCTAACCTACAGCGCATCTCCTTGGTTGCAAAAAGAAGTATGACGCCTGCCTTACTACTACCCAAAATTGTAACTTTGCCAAGTTGAGCTTTCTTTAATTTGTCCATATCTTATAATGTTGGGGGGGCTGCCTGGCAAGTTGGGGGGGGGGGGGGCTGACCAGCAGGTTGGGGGGGCTGAAGCCCCCCAACTGTATAGGATCCTACGCCCCTGATGTGCGGTACACGTTGTGTGGGATATTTTAATCATCGAGCCCAATGGCCATACTCAATTAGTGATATGGATCATATTTGGATAAAATTCAGGTCAAGGTCAGGTCAAGTGAGGCCAAATTTGAAAACAATAAAGACCCAAAAGTTGTGTATCTGATGCAATGTTTCAGGTTGAATCGAAGATTCGAATGGTGCTTTTTTGTTCCCGCACGAGGTCTAAAACGTCCAAAGATGTCATTTTTCGAACATTGGGTTTGTTATAACGTGATTAAAATTTGAATAACCTCTGCATTTTTGACTCGATCTTTCTGAAAATTAGAAGGTAGGTGGAAAGACTGTACCTACCTTCCTGCTTTTCTAACATAGGTATATTATTTCTTTATTACTTCATATTTTGGATTTTACAACGATAAAAGACATGTAGAACAACCAATGGGGATCGTTGTATGTACGGCATGTATTATTGATTAGCCAGTCACTTATATTCACAGATCATTCAACATATTTGCAGGAGCAGCGGCGATCGGCAGCACTCGGAAACATGTTCAACACGCACACCTGTCCGTTGTGGATGGAAATGCGTCACCTTGCACATGGCTCACATCACATCCTCCCCACGCCATCACCAGAGGGCGCGCAGTGGTCGAGGCTAACGCATGGTACTTACACAGCCGTCCGTCGGGGAGCAGGCACTAGCTGTCTGTGTCACGGCAGCAGTTGGGCAGACGCACAGACGACCAGAGCGCCGCACAGACCGGCCAGCAGGGCACTGCGCCCCGGCACCGAGCCTGAGTTCAGCTTTTCGTACTGACCCTCTCCGAAGGCAGAGTGACCGCCTCCTCCCGGCACTTCGTCGCCCTCTGCCTTGCAGAGGTTCGGGTAGCGGCTGTCGCCGCCGCACGTCGTTCCGCGCGGACAGGCGGAACACGGTGATCCCTGCTGGTAGATGGGCCAGCGCATCACGTTGCCGGCCGGACCGTAGTTACAGACTAGAAAGTTGTTGTTCATCATCCCACTCTTGAAGCCGGCGTAGCCGCAGCCGATCTTGTACGAGGTGGCCCAGATCCACTGGGTGAAGTGGCCGGTTTGCATGGAGAACTGGTAACTGGCTACGCCGCCGGCGTCGAACATGCCGACCTCCTTTTCGTACCACATCACGGCGAGGCTGGTCATGTTCGGCGGTCCCGAGACGGAGCTGCCAGCGATGGCCACGTTCTGGCCCACCTGCATGTTAGGAAGATCTCGGCACCCATCGTGACCAAAGTGGCACTGAAGAGCCCAGCGCTGCGCGATTCGAGCTATTTCCTCGTCCCAGGTCAGCACACCCATATTTGCCGCCTCAGGCATCGCACCACCGAGCGTGCGTGTTTCCTTTCCGGCAGCCAGATAGTCCCTGTACCGATTATGAACATGAAGTAGATCTTCAATCTGTTTTGAGTCGACTCCTTGACCCGTGAGAGAGACGCATTCACTCCCAGGACTGTCGCTGGAGTATGTGCACATCGTGTGCTGGCCTTCAATGCACCTTACTTCGCTGCAATAATCTATTGTTGTGACAAAGGGGATCCATGCTATGAATAGCCAAACAAGTACTCTGCTGACTGCTCTGCTCCGGATCAATAACATTCCCGGATGCATAAAAGTGTTATGGACTTAAATTGAACAATAAGAAGTATACATGCAAAAGTCGTGCACATTGCTGGTCTTGCAGGTGAAATTGGTGAAATTCTTGAACATTTTCGCGTTTTCTTTTCTCCTCTTTGCATAAGCCAAGTGCCTGCATGGAATATCTCGTGGGAGTGTTATTTAGATACCTCCACTATGCGTAGGTGTAGAGACAATTTTCCTTGCTGTAGGCGAGCAATGGTGTCTTTGAGCATCATCATAAGTAAAAAAGTACCTATATATAAATAACCTTATGCTCATTCTTTGCACTTTTTGTTGAAATTGAATAATTAAACAAAATCATTGATATATTTCGGCTTGCGCCATCTTCAGAATGTACAGCAACAATTGTCAACACAAACAAACAAAATTCGGTTCCATCAATCAATCAATAAATCGTGCAGCGTTTCAATCAGCTCCTTGATGAGAGAATAATTTCATATATACATGGCTCTCGAAATAACGATGCACCGTCCATGATATCTACAATAATAGATATCATGCAGATATCATGTATGTAGATATCATGTGGATATCATAGATATCATGTATGTACCTTGGTAGATCTCATGGACGGTGCGTCGTTAGGCGGCACGGGCGGACATCGATAGCAGCGCCTCTATCGGTCACTCGGAAAAGCTGGGCTGTAGGCGACGAAATACCGGCTGAGTTGTCACACGTTGAATAGGTTTATAGCCATCCGTCTTGTGAAAAAGTTGAACTTTTGCCTTTAATATTTCTACAGGCAATTTTAGAAGTGTCTTCACATGGATTACAAAACCGTTTAGATTATTGTATTCACTTCAAGCCTTTCCTTTTGTTCTTGATGATGCGGGAACTATTTATAATTAGTGTTTCTAGCTTAGTAAAAGAACATACTGTGCAAACGATGAAAAAAGCATAAATGGAAGATTTTAAATGCAATTTTCTCTAACAATTAATGGTAAATTCTCTACATATCAAAGGAAAGGTGCATGCTGGCTGATAATTTAAAGTTCTTGGGGCCAGTTGTTTTCTTCTTTTCTTACGTCGCCCCAATAGCCACGAATACACTTGTGATAACGCCTATCGTATATATGAAATGAAACTTACAGCCTACAGGACTTACTACCCGGCAGGCGGTGGGCCTCCCGGCCACCTTCCGCGCGTGGGGGGGGGGCATTTTTTGCCCCCACCGTATCTCCGAAACTACTGGACGGATCCGCAAAATTCAAAAGGCTTTCGAAAGTCCTGTCAAATTTGTCGAGGGAAACTCGTGCACAAATGGACGAGCGCATAGATTAGCCCGACTCGTGCATCAATGTGCTTTATACACTCCGGGCCATTTACAAAATTATATTTTGGTGCACGGCTACCTTCGAATTAACGCACAGTTAATCTCCAGTGAACGCACCGTAAAGTATGTATTAATTTGGGATTTAATGATACCTATTTTGTTCATATTGCGGACAGTCAGTTTGGGGGAATTTCTAGCGCTTTCCGGGCTGCCGGCCTACAGTGCACCGCTTGGAAGGTTAAGATAGGATACCAGTCGCTGCGCCATCTAACGGCGCACAAGCTCGTTTTTCCCCAAGACTGCTCAGTTGGGAGCGAAACGGCTGAGGGGACGCCCCTCGGCGGGAGCGTATGACAAGAAAAACCGATAGGTACCTAGGTCCGGCTTTGGTTGATTCTTGGTAGGCACTTAGTTTTAACCTCCTACCATCAAACAAACTGCATATCAGTATGCAACGGAAGGCGACGGATGCGTAAGACCAGTCATTTATTGCGTTCTGTCGAATATGCGCGATCTCTGGAAGGTAGACTGTCCCGCCTGACAGGCATGCATTGCGGTACGGTCTATCTGACGCTCCGCAGGATTCCGCGTCTATGCCGAACGAATGCCTATAGGTATGTACTCATACAAGGACAATAAACCGATGGAGATGCTTTTTAAGTGCTGGGCACGGGCTGGATAACACAGGAGTGGCGTGGCGATGGCAAACGGCGCAGTCACTATAGTCACTCTACAGTCTACACATTATCCTATGCACTATGCAGGGCAGTTCCTTTTCAGTTCCAGCACATATTTCTGATCCATTTTAACTTTATCGTCCCGGGTGCAAGAAAGCAGTGATAATACCTATGCATGCATGCTTAACCCTCGCATGTGTAGGGGGGGGTCGGATGGACCCCCCCCCATGGTTTTTCGCGAATAACTCGCGTAAAAAGCGGCCGATCGCGACGAAACTTTCAGTACCCTCGCATTGATCAATTTTACACCTACCCTGAAAATTTCATGACCCTGACCCCAATGACCTTTGACCTGTGACCTCTTTTCCGAGACCATGTTTGGCCGGAATCGCGATTCCGCGTATGTCGGCTCGCATTAGCCGCACGTTTGCAAGCTTTTCGTGGTTTCAAACGTTCAAACATGTGATTTGATGTTGCTCCCATGCATTAGGGTGGGTGTCAAGGTCACCTGAAGGTCAGGTCAGGTCATTGACCTTTGGTGACCTCGGTTCACTTTTTCGAGTTTTACATGTTTCTAGGCTAGTTTTTCGAGCTGAATTCGAATTTAGCAACCATTTGAACATTTACGAAGTAGTTTTGGTGACTTCGTAACATGTTACGAAGCTGTCAGAGGCGGTTGACACGTAATACTAATACCCGTCACGACGCCTACTGGTTGACCTGACCTGACCTGACCCGACCTGGTCTAAATGCTTAAAGACATCATCTGTGATCAAAACTAACACGATATTCGTGATCAGCACCCCGGAAAACCCCTTAGCAGCCACACTTTACGACTTTCTAACAGGTCCCGATTTTCCCGACCTTGGGTCATTGACCTGACCTGGAAGGTCAACCAATGACCTAGGACCTTAAAATTGGGTATCATCGGCTTCCTCTCGTCACGGGCAACACGCTCGTTTTTTCCGCGAAGCTCTAGCTCGATCAGGGGCCAAACGGCAAGGGGGGGGTCCAACCGACCCCCCCCCCCCTACACATTAGAAGCTGGAAAACGCCGCACACATGCGAGGGTTAACTTAACCCTCGCCGACACAGGGGGGGAGGGGGCGGGGGCAGGGTTGTGCTTGACTCATGAGTCGAGTCAGAAATTTGACTCAACTCTGACTCAAATGAGTCAGATTTGAGTCGAGTCAGATAAAATGTTGAGCTGTTAAGTTGAGTAAGAGTTGAGTCGGACAAAATATTAAGGCGTTGAGTTGAGTCAGAGTTGAGTCAGTAAAATAACTTTTGACATTGAGTTGAGCCAAACATTTAGGAATTAGGAACATGAGTCAGCTGATTCAACTTGGTCTAAGGTTGACCTCAGGTCACGTGAACTCGAGGTCATCATGTATATCATTCGATGCGCCTTGACGAGCTGAACACAATGAGACCATCCGCGCGGCTGTATCTTGTTCCTGTAAGGAGTTATTGGCAGAAAAAAAAAACTTTGGTGACCTTTGATGAAGTCGCATGGCCTTACAGCTGCCCAACAGCAAAAAAGGCCTCAATGTAGTGAAGTTGAAGTTTGATCGTAGTCATGTATGGTATATGGGGCCATTCTGACGCGTTTAAGTGGAAAAACAGGGAGTTGATTTTTCCCCCATTGACTTACCTATGGGGAGGTCGAGAAATTGACCTGACCTTAGGTCATCGATATCAAAATTCCGAGATATACAAATAGTAGTTACCAATGACCTAATAGCATCCTCCGACTTTCAAAGAATTCCGTCATCTACTGTAGCTCTGACACGCCCAGTAAACATGCCGACGTTGGCCCGACGTCGGCCGACGTCGGGGTGACGTCGGCAACTCGGCATCGGCATGCCGACGTCGGCCCGACGTCGGTCCAACCTCGGCACGACGTCGGCTGGATGTCGGATATGCCCGCATGTTCCGACGTCCAGCCGAGGTCCAGCCGACGTCGGGCCGACGTCGGACCGAGATCAATCGCTGAGGTCCAGCCGACGTCGGGCCGACGTCGGGGCGACGTCGGACCGACATCGGCCGCTGTTATGACCGTTAAAATAATATAAAATACGTGTTTCATGTTTCATAAAGAGCTTCTGTATTCAAAATATCCTCAGGAAACTCAAACCTTCCTCCACGCCGCAACCCCCTGATCCGGACTGGACGGGAAACTTTATCCCATTTGGGATTGCCCGTAACCCGAGCTCGCCCGTAGCCGGGTGCGGTGAGTGCTTGGGGGCTTCTCGGCCTATCCTTTGGTCAGGCTCAGCCCCGGCAACTCAACAGGGCCGGTCCCAGTTCATATAGAAAGGCCAGTCGGCAAGTGTCACTTTACCAAAGTGCCACTTATCAAAGGGACACTTTGGGAAACGTTGGTGCAGGTGTGTAAGAGTGGCTATATGAATCCATTGTGGGGTCGCCCTTTCCAATAAGTGTCACGTAACAGCAATGGGACCAGGGACTCTATATGAACTGGACCCAGGGTGCTCGCCAAGAAGACCAATGTCTCCATCCTATCATCCTTCCGGCTCTGAAATGGTCTTGTCAGACCAAAACGGCATAACCCAACAAAACAAACCATGTCCGTTAGCTGGCTGCGTGGTGTAGTGGTTAGCGCCCTAACCTCCCGGTCGAATGGCACGGGTTCGAATCCCATCGCCGGCTGATGTTTTTGGCGTGTTGTCCCAGTAAACATGCCGACGTCGGCGACTGGGGGCTCGAATCCCGCCGCCGGTTGATATTTTTGGCGCGTTGTCCCAATAAACATGCCGACGTCGGCCCCGTCGGTCCAACGACAAACGATCTCGTCAACCTCGGCAAACGATCTCGGCCCGACGTCGGCTCGACGTCGGCTGGACTTTGGCTGGACGTCGGAACATGCGGGCATATCCAACGTCCAGCCGATGTCGGGCCGAGGTTGAACCGACGTTGGGTCGACGTCGGGCCGAGCCTCGGCCCGACGTCGGGCCGACGTCGGCATGTTTACTGGGCGGTGACAAAGTTGCCAAAAAGTTTCTTGAGGTTGGGTCATTCAAAGTGACCTGGTGACCTGACCTTAAAAGTTAAGAGGTTCAAACTTGCACACCATGTGTAAAATTGATGATGGAATAGTCGTACCAAATTTCGCGGCGTTTCCGCTATTCGCAAAAAAAAACTCAGGGGGCGGATATCCGCCCCCCGTCGGTGCGCGTGTTAAAACACAGGAGAAGGCCAGGCTCTGTCCGACGGGCATCCCGGGCATGTCTCTGCACTGGTCGTGCTCGATGATGCACTGCAGCGCCCAGCGCTGTGCCGCACGAGCCAGCTCCTGGTCCCACGTCAGAGCGCCCATGTTGGCCGCCTGCGGCAGCGCCCCGCCGAGGGTCCGCGACTCCTTTCCGGCGGCGACGTGGTCTCTCCACTTGTTGTGAAGGTGCAGGAGGCTTTCCACCTCCTCAGCTTTGATACCGGAACCCGACATCGAGAGGCATTTTTCTCCGGGAGTTTCTTCGGGGTATTTGCATAGTGTGTGCGTAGATCCATACTTCCCTTCGGTGCAGTAGTCTGTTGTGACCACAAAAAACAACAGCGTGGCACATATGACAAACAGCCCAACAAACATTACTGCTTCCTACTAGTTGTCTGACCGGGTTATCCGATCACCTCGAACAACCCGCTCCAAGAAAACGTTCTGATGAAACTATAGGTCGGTCAAAATATTCCGTCCTGATATAGCAGTTATCTATGGAAGCGAAGCGACGAAGCGACTAATTGATATAGAACGTCAACGACCACATTACAGCTTGCAAAACAGCACTACGTTATTTAGATCCACAGCCAGCTATTACTTCAGCATTCAACTCAAACCCAACTTCAGCACGCAAAGCACTCGGCAATCCTAAACTTGGGCTAAGTACAAGTGCTGGCTGCAAGATTACTTTACTTATAGCTGGCTGGGCCAAAGGGTTGGACCAGCCTGGGACAAGCTAAGGGCCGTGACGGGCCGAGACTAAAAAATGGCGCAGCTAAATTGACGTTTTCTGCAGGTTTTCTGGCCTTTGATTTCACAAAAGGAAAAAATCCGTCAGACCCCGTCGAGAAGTAATCTCGCCGTCGAGTACCTATACTCGTGATTTTATTGTCAGCATTCTTTGTTCAGGGGGATAAAAATAGAACATTTCGAAAGCTTTTCAGGTTTAAGTGTCGGGCCACCGAAGCCATGCCCGCTAGGACAGAGCCCATCGCTGTTGCATCGCACCAGCAATCAATATCAAAATAAAACAGTCAATCAAAATGCCTTTATTGGTTTTACATAAAGCGAGTTTGAACGGCTCAATAAGGTGACAAATACCGACATTGTCTTCATGAAGGCAATTACACCGGTGAATGATTACAAATGAACATTGAACACCAGCTAAGTGAGACTGAGATCAAATACTATGTGCAAATAATTATAATGCCGTGATCACTACCTTCGTTGACAGGACTTCATCAATGATCTCATCACTTCTTGCAATGCATGCTCCTAGTCTTCCTGTGCAGCTAGTTACGCCTGGCGGAACCGAGTCTCACAGGAGGACAATAAATAACGCGTCAGTCATGATTATCCATCCGCCTATATCACGCCTGTATCACACACACGCCTCGGTCCCCGAGTATCCGCTGCGCTGCCGTCGGGGTCACTCCAGCCGACCCCCGTCGAGCGGCCACGTCTGCAGGCGGCCGTCGAGCAGCGCCGCCACCAGGCCCGGCCGGCGCGGCAGGAACGCCACGTCTGTGACGCCGGCGGCGGCGGCGCGCAGGCGGGCCAGCGGGCCGCGGCCAGAGCGCACGTCCCACAGCCACAGGTGGGCGGCGTCCGAGCCCAGCGCCACCAGCCGGCCGCACGGGCTGAACTGGAAGCCGGCCGGCAGGGCGCGCAGCTCGGCGGCCGGCAGCCGGGCCGCCAGCCGGCCGCAGCGCGCGTCCCACAGACGCACGCCGTCGCCGACGGCCGCCGAGCCGATCAGGTCGTAGAGCGGCAACGCGGCCGGCAGGTGCGGCGAGCCCTCGCAGAGGCGCGCCAAGTGCGCCGGCCGCCGGTGTGCGTCCGCCAGCGTCAGCGCCACGCGGCCCGTCTGCATGTCGATGAGGCGCAGCGCGCGATCCGAGCAGCAGGCCACGGCCAGCGCGGAGCGCAGCTGACAGCCGCTGGTGACGTGCAGCACCTCTCGACAGGGCAGCCGGCACTGCAGCACCGACCGCAGCGGGCCCGCCCCCCGGCCGCGGCCTGCGGCGGCGCCCTCCGGCGGCAGGCGACTCAGCTCCACTGTGTCGCCGCGACTGGCCAGCAGAAACCCGTCCGTGAAGAAGAACTGGGCGGCCGTGTACGGTTGGGAGCCGGCGGGCCGGCTGCCGCACGGCTCTCCCTCTGGGAACGACCACAGCTGCACCCCGGCCGCCGAGGAGGCCGCCTGGCGCAGACACGACGCCTGATGTCAGTGGTCCGTATGTCAATGTTTTATGGCAGTAACGCGGACAGGCGTGGACAATGGACATAGGGACCGGGTGGACACGATCCATGTACTTAAAGGTAGTGTGCCACCTTTGAAAGATTTCCAATTTTATTTTTCCTAGGATAAGAAGCTTCTGTTTTTACCTAATATCGCAAAAAAAAATCAAAAATGGGCCTGGAATAGTGCCTTTTTCGCCTAAAAGTTTTTCGGTTTTTAGATATGTATAACAACTGTAGTGGGCTCACCTGCAAACAGGCGTCGGGCAACAATCGCGAATGCGGCGCACTTGTGACAATAAGCAAAGGTCATTATAGTGTTACGACCATACGACGTACGGGAATGAGTTATCAGCTGTCTAATCGTAGACAACACAATGTCGAGCCTTAAACTGTAAGCCCGTATTGTATTGTTTCTTTTATTTGGCTGTCGAACATTATTTATGGTTTGAAATATGATTTTATGTAAAATAATTGATATGAAAAAGGCGTCTTATAAGTTATGACCCCATTTCACCACACGCAAGTGGCAGAAATGACAATGATCAGCTGACGCATTTTTCTTGGCCGAAGTCAGAGCGCGCGGCCCGACGCACCACGCGTATTTGGAAATTCCGACCTCGACGAGCATCAGAAGCCACCTAACAGGCGTGTTCGAAACCGCAGGAGATGATGATGAACGGGTTTATCGAAACTTGATTGGATGAGCATATCGGTAATAGCGATTTCAGTGTGTGCATTTATTGTTCATAGTGGTGTGAAATGTGGTTGGGGTACGACCGACAACCCGTCGGGGCGAATTTCGCACTGGGGTACTCAAAATTTGAAGAATTTAAGACGTTTCCATGAGTTTTGAAGGTATGGATAAGTTCTAAAAATCCGGTTCTCCTTATCTGGGCCATTAACTCCATACGGTCCAAGAAAGCTGGCACACTACCTTTAAAGCAGTCTTGCAAACTTAAGAAACTTCCATACAAAAAAGCTTAACTTACAGAAGGAAAGTGGTAACGCAAAATCGGCATTAAAATACAGTCATCTCTAAATGATTAAACGATCACATCGGTAACGCAAAAACCAACTGACTCCGATGACTTAAACAAAAACTGTACAAGCTACAACACAAGATCATGACTCAAAATCAAGAAGTCATGATCAAGACCAGTCGAGACAACTTTGCTTGAAAGTTTGAAACCCATGTCGGGACCCCACCCCTGTGAAAACGCCTCACAAAAGCACGCTCCACCGAGCTACACACACGGAACTGTTGGTACAGTCGACGTTTGTCGTGCCCCGCTCACCAGTCGGCGGCCGCTCAGGCTCCACGCCACGGAGGTGATGGCGCCCTGCGTGCCCAGCAGAAACTGTCCCTGAGTCACATCCAGCTGCTGGAGACGGGCCACCTCCAGCGAGCCGCCCTGCTGGCTGGCGCAGGCGACCTGGCGACCACTGCCTGCCAGACGGAGAGCGACAGAGATGAGACGGGCGAGCTTAATGAGTGTCGAGCAGATGGGGTGACCAGTGGCACCACAATAGGGGCTCAGCAGAGGACATCCAAATCGAGTCGCCAGATTATAGTTGAAAAAAACGGAGGTATATCACCACAATATGATAAAAAAACGTTTTATTCCGCGCCCGGCATGCCATTTCCATCCTGACACATGATAGGATGATCGGGAGAAGTCCCGATCCGAGTAAGAGATAACATGTGACAACGGGGTTAAATACGAAATACTTCTAAACATTAAACAATGAACAAATGTCAATCTTCTACAATCAACTATCACTAAAAAAAACTCATAATGGCACGACCACTAAAGATAGAATGCCTTGTGTAAACAATAGTTACCGTTACCAAGAAAAATTGACGTCAGCTTACAACTGTTTATCTCATCCGAGCACCACTCCGGACAACAAACGAACTGACCTGACAGCGCTATCCTGAGCAGCGTATCTCCCGAGCGGAGGATCCGCACCGGACGGCTGCCGACCGGCGGCGGGCTCACGTGACACTCGTATTTAGGAGCCGGTCGGTCCAGGTGCCGGTCACGTGTCTTAGCGGGCCTCTGCGCAGCGGTTGGCAGGCTGGACAGAGACGACTTCGAGGCAGCGGTCTGCTGATGAGCCATGTAGATAGACGACGCATATTTAACTCATCGCCCCATTCAGCATTTCAACACTGAAGACAAGTGAAATCAGTATGATATTCGATATTCCTTAGATTCAAAATGTATATCAGATCAAACAGTGGGAAGCGACAACTCAGAAAGTACTACATCAAACTGTATAAATCAGATCAACTAGTAGGAAGCGAAGGTCCAACAAGTACTATGGCAAACTGACAAGCCCACAGCGACAAGGGATAAACAGGATCGGGCAACTGAGCCAACACCGTCTGACGTCTCATCGATGATACTTTACAGCTAATGTCTGGGCTGGGCTGTCTGGGGAGCTAGGTGGCGCTGGTGCGGCGGTGTCATGGGCACTCTGTCCGGCCGAGGCTCGCTCCCGCGGTGTCAGGGGCACTCTGTCCGGCCGAGGCTCGCTCCCGCGGTGTCAGGGGCACTCTGTCCGGCCAAAGCTCGCTCTCGCGGTGTCAGGGGCACTCTGTCCAGCCGAGGCTCACCCCCACCTTGGCGGTCCGTGAGCGGGTGGCGTTCGTCTTGGGCTGGAACATGGCCCGGCGCGGCGCTGCGCCATACCCCGACGAGCGCACCCGACTGGGGGCGGGCTGAGCGGGCGCGGCGCGCGGCAGCCGGGCACGCAGCACGGACCGCGCCGGTAGCGGATCACTGTGAGAGGAGACCGCCACAGGGGGATGTTAGAGGGACCGGGCAGACAGCGGAGACCATCCGCCACAGCGGACTGTCACGGGGGGGGGGGGGCTCCCTAACAGCCTAGACCTCCACAGGGGGCTGTCAGAGGGACTGGGTAAACAGCGGGTACCGTCCGCCTCAGGAGGCTGTCACAGGGACCGGGCAGATAGCGGAGACCATCCGCCACAGCGGACTGTCACGGGGGGGGGGGGGGGCTCCCTAACAGCCTAGACCTCCACAGGGGGCTGTCAGAGGGACTGGGTAAACAGCGGGTACCGTCCGCCTCAGGAGGCTGTCACAGGGACCGGGCAGATAGCGGAGACCATCCGCCACAGCGGACTGTCACGGGGGGGGGGGGGGGCTCCCTAACAGCCTAGACCTCCACAGGGGGCTGTCAGAGGGACTGGGTAAACAGCGGGTACCGTCCGCCTCAGGAGGCTGTCACAGGGACCGGGCAGATAGCGGAGACCATCCGCCACAGCGGACTGTCACAAGGGAGGGGGGGGGGGGGGCTCCCTGGCAGCCGAAACCGCTACAGGGTAATGTCACACGGACTGGGCTATAGTACGCATTCTACTGTGCATTCGTCTACTAATCTCCAGTTCTACTGGGTGATGGCCACGAACCAAACTGCCGGAACCGCAGGTGGTAACACAACTGACGTCTTCATCCCAGGAAGCAAGAATAGAGCATTGAATTTACTTATTTCATCAGGGCACCAACAGCCCGCCCGGGAGCAGGGCACCCACCGGCACACGATGGAGAGCGTCCGGAGTCGGTCGGCGGGGTCTCCTGACTCGTCAGTGCCCGACCGGACGGTCAGGCAGAAGGCCGAGACGCGGCCCTCGAGGGCACTGCGGCAGCAGACGACTGCAGCGCCGCCTGGTGTCACGGCGGCCGAACTACCGCCCCACGGCTCACCGTCGCCTGATGGGGCCGGGCCAGAAAGGGCGTGAGCAGATGACAGGTATTGCCAGTGACCACAGACCATTCGTGACATAAAATCGTACATGATATAATAAAACCAGCAACGTTTAAGCATATCCCACATGTCGACACCATCCCACGGCGAATATTCACAGCTCTGACAGCTGACACCACCTACAACCACGAGTCGTATGCCCGCCAGCTCTCTCTCCCAATGATGTCATCTGCACGTCCGGCAGAGCCCGCCGAGCTCCGCCGCTGCCGACGGTGACTGACCCGTCCCAGTGACTGACCCGTCCCAGTGACTGACCCGTCCCGGCGACTGACTGACCCGTCCCGTTGACCGACATGTCCCAGTGACTGACTGACCCGTCCCGGTAATTCACTGACTCGTCCCGTTGACTGACCCGTCCCGTTGACTGACATGTCCCGTTGACTGACCCGTCCCGTTGACTGACATGTCTCGTTGACCGACATGTTCCAGTGACTGACTGACCCGTCCCCGTGATTTACTGACCCGTCCCGTTGACCGACATGTCCCGAAGACTGACCCGCCCCAGTGACTGACCCGCCCCAGTGACTGACCCGTCCCGTTGACTGACCCGTCCCGTTGACTGACATGAGCCAGTGACTGACCCGTCCCAGTGACTGAGCCGTCCCGTTGACCGACCCGTCCCGTTGACCGACCCGTCCCGTTGACCGACCCGTCCCGGTGATTTACTGACCCGTCCCGTTGACTGACATGTCCCAGTGACTGACTGACCCGTCCCGGTGATTTACTGACCCGTCCCATTGACTGACATGTCCCAGTGACCGACCCGTCCCAGTGACTGACTGACCCGTCCCGGTCACTGACTTGTCCCGTTGACTGATATGTCCCGTTGACCGACCCGTCCCGTTGACCGACATGTCCCAGTGACTGACTGACCCGTCCCTGTGATTCACTGACTCGTCCCGTTGACTGACCCATCCCGTTGACCGCGTACAGCGGCAGCCAGGTACGGGTGTTGAACACGCGCAGACCGTCCGTGGTGACAACCACCAGCAGCCGGTCGGGGCCGAAGAGAGCCTCGCTCGGCCGCCGCCAGAAGCGCACCGCCAGCACAGCACACTCGGGCTGCGGGCTGCCGCGGCCGCCTGCCGACAGGACAGCTGTGTCAGGGGTGAGTGGCTGCCGACAGCCAGAGGACAGCTGTGCCAGGGTTGGACGCCTTCAAAGTGGGCGGGGTAGGGTGTGGGGTTACCCGTGGGGGAGGGTGGGGTGTGGAACACCCGTGGGGGAGGGTAGGGTGTGTGGTTGCCCGTGGGGGAGGGTAGGGTGTGTGGTTGCCCGTGGGGGAGGGTAGGGTGTGTGGTTGCCCGTGGGGGAGGGTAGGGTGTGTGGTTGCCCGTGGGGGAGGGTAGGGTGTGTGGTTGTCCGTGGAGGAGGGTAGGGTGTGTGGTTGCCCGTGGGGGAGGGTAGGGTGTGTGGTTGCCCGTGGGGGAGGGTAGGGTGTGTGGTTGCCAGTGGGGGAGGGTAGGGTGTGTGGTTGCCCGTGGGGGAGGGTAGGGTGTGTGGTTGCCCGTGGGGGAGGGTAGGGTGTGTGGTTGTCCGTGGGGGAGGGTAGGGTGTGTGGTTGCCCGTGGGGGAGGGTAGGGTGTGTGGTTGCCCGTGGGGGAGGGTAGGGTGTGTGGTTGCCCGTGGGGGAGGGTAGGGTGTGTGGTGCCAGTGGGGGAGGGTAGGGTGTGTGGTTGCCCGTGGGGGAGGGTAGGGTGTGTGGTTGCCCGTGGGGGAGGGTAGGGTGTGTGGTTGCCAGTGGGGAAGGGTAGGGTGTGTGGTTGCCCGTGGGGGAGGGTAGGGTGTGGTGCCAGTGGGGGAGGGTAGGGTGTGTGGTTGCCCGTGGGGGAGGGTAGGGTGTGTGGTTGCCAGTGGGGAAGGGTAGGGTGTGTGGTTGCCCGTGGGGAGGGTAGGATGTGTGGTTGCCCGTGGGGGAGGGTAGGGTGTGTGGTTGCCAGTGGGGGAGGGTAGTGTGTGTGGTTGCCCGTGGGGGAGGGTAGGGTGTGTGGTTGCCCGTGGGGGAGGGTAGGGTGTGTGGTTGCCCGTGGGGGAGGGTAGGGTGTGTGGTTGCCCGTGGGGGAGGGTAGGGTGTGTGGTTGCCCGTGGGGGAGGGTAGGGTGTGTGGTTGCCCGTGGGGGAGGGTAGGGTGTGTGGTTGCCCGTGGGGGAGGGTAGGGTGTGTGGTTGCCCGTGGGGGAGGGTAGGGTGTGTGGTTGCCAGTGGGGGAGGGTCGGGTGTGTGGTTGCCCGTGGGGGAGGGTAAGGTGTGTGGTTGCCCGTGGGGGAGGGTAGGGTGTGTGGTTGCCCGTGGGGGAGGGTAGGGTGTGTGGTTGCCCGTGGGGGAGGGTAAGGTGTGTGGTTGCCCGTGGGGGAGGGTAGGGTGTGTGGTTGCCCGTGGGGGAGGGTAGGGTGTGTGGTTGCCCGTGGGGGAGGGTAGGGTGTGTGGTTGCCCGTGGATCACAGGTGTGTGTATGTGGGGAGAGGGGTATTTACGGGATTAGGCTAGGTTAGGCGTGCCATTCCAATCGTCCTGAATCCCGAAATGACGGGTGAATCTGCGATACCTACAGCGAAACATAAGCAATTTTGTCATAGTTAAAGAAAGATAGCACCCCTAGACAATATGTCGTTCGAGATCATAGTCGGACATTTAAGTTGGTGTTTCAAGCCTCCTTTCACGTCAAAAGTGCGAAATCAAAACACAACATTTCTGCATTTGCAAAAAGCTGGGTCCGTATGAATTGCATTCCCCCCGCCGTAGATCACATAAATGTTTCGAGCTATGAATCCTGTCATCTAAACATCCTATAATGACTCATGTTATCTATAGCTCGGCTCTGTATTTGTCATCTAATTCCGTCGACGTCAGACGCGCTATCATTCCGTCAGCTTTCGAGAACCGTCACCATCAGTTCCGCCACGCACCGCCCGGCCGACTGTGCCAAGGTGGTGCAACATCCCACCAATCAGCGAACGCCTCTAAATGACGTCACACCGGGTATATAACCTCCGCCGACAGCGAGCTCGTCGGCGTTGTGTCCCAATCATTTGCAGATTGATCACAAAGTGTAATGTCCTAGCTTCTCTAAGCGGGGACTGGGCCCCCTCCGCCCCGCACAAAATCCCGCAGTCGTCCCGACGGACGCCAGGGATGGGGCGGGTCACAGGGGGCCCCCGCCGGGGTCAGGGGGCCCGTCCGATGTTCAGTTGAGGTCGGCGGGTCAGCCTGGCCTCGGTGGGCTGAAATGCAGCGACAGAACTTCAAGTGAGATACGATCTGCGTCCGAGTGACCAAGTGCAAGTACCTACCGTAGCATTGACAGCTTCAGCAAGTTTTACAGTGAGTGGGTTCACGATCGACATTTCAGCAGCGAATGCCCCAATTTAGATTATGTCTGAATCAATAAAAATAGTAGGATTGACTTAATGCTCACATTTTCTCGGAGAAGTTAGTTAAAAATGTATAGAAAGTCATTTTTTATTGCCACTGAATAAGAACCAAGTTCGAAAATATATTCTGTCGCTCTATCGCCATTTTTTATGTCACCGAAGAAAACCAAGTTCAGTATATTTTGTCGCTCTCTCGCCATTTTTGATGCCAGAGAAGAAGAATCAAGCATGAAAATATATCCTGACGCTCTCTCGCCATTTTGATGCCACCGAAGAAGAACCAAGTTCAAAAATATATTATATCACTTGCTCGCCATCTGTTGATGCCACCGAAGAAGAAACAAGTTCGAAAATATATTCCGGTCATTTTTTCAGTTAATTTATCCGATATTACGAGCATTTTACCAGTTTCCTTCATTACAACCATGTTCAAAGAAACGTTTTTATACAAAAAGTAGGTAAGTCTGAATCGTTTCAGATGGTTTCGATGGCTGGCATGGCTCTAGACTTAATGTCAAAATTAATTTGAAAGTGATTATTGAAATGCAACAGATATATTTCATTTTTTTAACCGAATGACCAAAAAATACGCAAGATTTTATCATCACTGTAATCACAGGTTAGTTACGGAGCGAGCGAAGCGAGCGGAGTCTTACGTAGAATAACGGAAATTTCTGAGTACGAGCGGCCGGCCGGCCGGCCGTGGTCACGATTCTACGACGCTTATATCTCAGCAACCACTTGACCGATTTACATGCGGTAATTTTTGTAGGGTAGCTACATTCCTTCTACCCAGTATTGGACTATTCACGATGCATGTGGGTGACCCCTTATGCACGTGCCACGTGCAAAACGAAGAGGTGTCCGTTTTGTAATTGTTGCAATATCTCGGTAACTACTGGGCCGATTGCGCTGAAAGTTGGCATGTAGGTAGGCACCCACTACTGATAACGCCAGACCCCTTGAGACCCTAATTTTTCGCGATTACTTTTAAATGCGTGAAGGAATTTCAACCAAGCTCAGGACATGGCCGTTTCAAGACAGGCCGAAACTTTTACAATTTAGATATTTTATCGCCATTTCAATATTTCAGGCACTTGTCATTGACTCGTAATGTTAAATTTCGAGCAAGATTTTCATCCGGTGTGTAGAGGCTATCACCAGTCAGTCTGTGATACGTTATGACGTCACAGCTAATCCCCGCCTCTGTGGTCTTGGCCTGCGGCGGTTTCGGGCCGGCGCGCGGTCACTCTCGCTGTGGCGGGGAGCGGGGACGGGCGACGGTCGAGCGGTGCCGAAAGCCGGCGGAGTTGTGCGTAGCGTCTTGGCTGACAGTGCCCAGAGAGCGACATGATGACTAAGGAGTCATAAATGCTCAATGCGCATTGCTTCTACAATGCTGATATGTTCGCTGATATATATTTTTTTTTATAAGCTGCAAATGACGGGCAGATGGCATATAACTGACATATGGTTAGGAAATATTCACCTGTATTTAAAGCCTATGGCGTTGCAGATAATGCGATAATGGGATGTCGGATGTCACCAAGTAGCTGCCGATTTGTACATCGCTATGCAACCATCGAACAACGCAATAATAAGTTAATGGCCTGAGCTTCACATCATACGGCTCGCTCGTATTTCAAACAGATACCCTACATCGAAAATCGTATTTGTTAGGAATCGTTAACGTTTGTTCGAAGCACGACTGAGTAGTAGGTTGAGGAGTGATGGTCCTCTTGGTCCTATATACAAGAGTCAACAAGAGCTTAACATTTACTTGACCGTCTGCTGCAATTGACTCAGCACGTGAAGCGTCAGCGAAATTCATAGTCCTTCACAGATGGCAGGGGTGTCGTTTGTACAGAGGTCACTGATGGGCACGGGTCAATGCCGCAGTCGTGGGCGGAGCCTAATGTCATATGACGTAGAAAGCCTCTATCCAGGATGGAAAAACAGTTAACATTACGAGTCAATGACAAGTGCCTGAAATATTGAAATGGCGATAAAATATCTAAATTGTAAAAGTTTCGGCCTGTCTTGAAACGGCCATGTCCTGAGCTTGGTTGAAATTCCTTCACGCATTTAAAAGTAATCGCGAAAAATTAGGGTCTCAAGGGGTCTGGCGTTAACAGTAGGCATTGCATATCCATGTGCCAGAGTTGGGGTGCTGCTGCACGTGCGCACGTGCAGGGGTCGATTCCAGATCTCGAGAACGGCTGGACCGATTGCGCTCAAATTTGGTACACGGTTACGGAGCAGTTAGTAGGGTGCCGTGCACAGGTCATTTGGGACCCATTTTGCACGTGCGCACGTGCAGGGTGCCGCTTTCAGATCTCGAGAACGGCTGGGCCGATTGTGCTCAAGTTTGGCACATCGCTAGAGACCTGTTAGTAGGGTGCCGTGCACAAGTCAGTTGGAGGTACCCCCTCGCAATTTCGCACGTGCAAAGCCCACCCTCTCGCTCGCTCCGTTAGTCGCCCCAAGAGGCGTTATACTGGTTTTAACAATTGAAATATCGCCAACTGCGTTCATTTTTAAGCGTTCATTTATCAGCCGCCAATCAGTTTCTTCACCGCCTACGCGAAAAAGTAATTGCATAGGCCTGTTTCATTAAAAACTTGCGATTACAATTTACAAGTGTTTGAACTTTACAATTCGTAAGTATTTTTGCAAACTATGTAAAATCCAATTTCACTCAACTTCATCACTCGCGGCACCTCCGATAAACAGAGTTTGCAAATAAACTTGTAAACAGTAAAATTGCTTTTAATCAAGAACTATAACATGTTGCCGATATTGCATCTTTTTATCAAATTACGTCTATTTTTCATGCCAAAAATTCGATACTTGAATTATAAATAATGATGCTGTTGCAAAATAATATAAATGATAGTTCACAATTTCTTATTATTGAAAGAAATTAGCACGCAAATGACACAAATATTGACAAATATGATGATATTTAAAACTTGTTCGTAGCTGGTTCACAGGGATTGTGCTCAGTAAAAAAGCATAACATGACTCAGAATAACATATTTGTTTTAAATAATCAATTGCTCTGCATTATTGCACAAAAAGTAACAAAATACCGAACGTCAGGGCTGCTGGAATTTCGGGTTTCTAAGAACAACGTTTTCTTTCCAGTTTTTGGTCTTCGTGAAACAGAAAGCTTGCGATTTCAATGTTTCTTACAAACTTGTTTTCTTGTAAAATAGTTTGCAAATTGTAAACTCAAAATTCATGCTCGGAGGTTTCGTGAAATCAAAATATCAAATGTTGGTAGTTATTTCTTTAAAACTCAAGTTTTTCTTTGTAATTGCACACTTTATTTGTTAGTGAAACAGGCCACTGATGTTAATATTAGCGGGCATGACTATATTTTCACATCATAGGCCTGTTTCACTTACAAATAAAGTTTGCAATTACGAATAAAAAGGTTGAGTTTAACAGAAATAATTACCAACAGTTGAGAATTGGATTTCACGAAACCTCTGAGCATGAATTTTGAGTTTACAATTTACAAACTGTTCTACAAGAAAAAGTTTGCAAGAAACATCGAAATCGCAAACTTTCTGTCAAACGAAGACCAAAAACTTGAAAGAAAACGTTGTACTTACAAACCTGAAATTCCAGTGTCCCTGACGTTCGGAATTTTGTTACTTTTTGTACAATAATGCAAGGCAATAAATTATTTGAAACAATTATGCTATGCTGAGTCACTTTATGCGCTTTTTTACTTAGCACAATCCCTATGAACCAGCTACGAACAATATTTAAATATCGTCATGTTTTGTCATTCGCGCACCATAATTAAATTCAACAGTCTTCTGCTGTCGAATGTTTTGCGTGCTATTTTCTTTCAATAATTAGGTATTGTGAACTATCATTTATATTATTTTGCAACAGCATCATTATTTATAATTTAATTATGCAATTTTTGGCATAAAAACTAGACATAATTTGATTAAAAGATGCAAAATTGGTGACATGGCATTCCTACCTATAGTTCTTGATTAAAAACCATTTTACTGTTAACAAGTTTATTTGCAAACTCTTTTTATCGGAGATGCTGCTAGTGATGAAGTGAAGTGAAATCGAATTTTACATAGCTTGCAAAAATACTTTTGAATTGTAAAGTTCAAACACTTGTAATCGCAAGTTTTTAGTGAAACAGGCCTCAGCTAGGCTGAAGATGGTCTGTTTTACGGGACATGACTCGCCGCAGCACGGTAGGGCGGCCCACCAGCTGGGGGCGTTACCGGCTGCCGGGCCGGACGTACCGCAGGCCGCGCCGACCCTGTCCAGCGGGGTGGTGGTCACATCTGTCCAGCGCCGACCGGCCGCCTGCGCCGCCGCAGAGACCAGCGAGCCGCAGCCGCAGGCCAGCAGGTCAGCGGTCACGGCGACGGCGCCGACCGGCCGCGCCGCAGTCGAGTGGCAGCTGTAGAGCAGCGTGTACCCGGTCAGCTCCCAGACCTGCCGACAGACGGTACACCGGGCAGAATAGACCAGACCTGCCGACAGACAGGCAGAATATCGGGCAGAACAGACCAGAGGCCTGTTTTACTAAAAACTTGCGATTGCAAGTGTTTGAACTTCACAATTCATAAGTATTTTGTACACTATGTAAAATCCGACTTCACTAAAATTCACCACCCGTGGGCCGTGGCACCTCCGATAGATAAAAAGAGTTTGCAAATAAACTTGTAAACAGTAAAATTGTTTTTAATCAAGAACTATAAAATGGTACCGATATTGCATCTTTTAATTTTATAATGTCTAGTTTTCATGCTAAAAATTGCATAATCAAATAAAAAATAACGATGTAGTTGTAAAATAATAGGCATAAATGATAATTCACAATATCTCATTATTGAAAGAAAATAGCACGCAAAACATTGGACAGCAGAAGCCTGTTGAATGCACGACGCGAATGACAAAACATGACGTTATTTTAATACTGTTCATAGCTTGCTCATAGAATTTGTGCTATGTAAAAAAGAGCATAAATACTCAGCAAAGCATAATTGTTTTAACCCTAGAACGCCTAGGGGGGGGGGTTGTATCAACCCCCCCCCCCTGAGGTTTTTTCGAAGTGCACGCTAAACGGCTTGTCGTAGCGGGCTGAAATTTTCAATACCCTCTGGGGCAACCTTTGCGCATCTTTTGCCGAAAAAAATTGATCGGGTCATGTCAGGTCACGGAGTTATGACGTCATAAGAGGTACAGCCTCCGGCCGACAGTTACCAAACGTGTGCGCCGAATCCCTAGGTTTTCTGCCGGTGATACCCACATTGTTTGATGGATCATGATGAAACTTCCCATGCATGTTGGGGCAAGCATTGGCTATCGTGTGGTGCAAGAAAATTGACCGGGTCAGGTCAGGTCACGGAGCTATGACGTCACAAGAGGAACAGCGTCCGGTACTATTTTTGAAAAGCGCCCGAACCACTACTTTGCTAATTCTTGTCACCTCAATGGGAATATGCAGCAATATTAGCTTCTATAGGGAGCAAATGCACCTCCCAAATCCAAAAATACAATCAGATTTCAAAAATCTAAATTTTGATTTTTCGAATTTCTGCCGCCGACTGTGATCTTGCCGACTTCCGGCGCTCCCAACGCGCCATTTTTAGAGCTAGGGAAACGAAATACATACCAAACGATAGAGAATTGATCAAGGAACACGATAGTGAAGGTTTCAAGTCGATATCTCCCACCGTTTTGCCGCAATCGCCGCGGAAAGTTGAAAAAGTTTGATTTTTTCGGAAAATTTGACCTTCGACCGGTCATAAGTAGGTCAAATGTTGACCTAGGACCAAAAAATATACCACCAATCGCGAGATCTCGTTGAGAGAAATCCGTTGGTTTTTTCCGCTAAGCTCTACGACCTTCCGTTTCGAAACGCCAGGGGGGGGGGGGTCGTAACAACCCCCCCTGGTCGTTCGTGTTATGAGAAATGGCCTGGTCGTGCGAGGGTTAAATAATTGATTGCTTTGCATTATTGCACAAAAAATGGCAAAATTCCGAACGTCAGGGCCACTAAAATTTCGGGTTAGTAAGTATAACGTTTTCTTCTAAGTTTTTGGTCTTTGTGAAACACAAAATTTGCGATTTCGATGTTTCTTACAAACTTTTTTTTTCTGGTAGAATAGTTCGTAAATTGTTAACTCAAAATTTTTGCTCAAAGCTTTTGTGAAATCCAAATCTCAAATGTTGGTAATTATTTCTTTTAAACTCAAGTTTTTTATTTGTAATTGCAAACTTTATTTGTTAGTGAAACAGGCCTCAGACCTCCCGACAGACAGGCAGTATGTACATCTCTTGAATCAACAGTCAGCACACTACACATATCGCTAAAACACAAAATAAAATTAGAATAACTACAAGCATTTACAGTTAAAACACAAATAATATTCACCCTACAATCCTCCTAGTGACAGACTGTCCGGAACCGATCCTGCTAGCAATACACGTGCAGCGAGCTTCGTCGGCCGTGCATTATTAATTTGATTTCACTGTTTTCCTATGGAGATTGTTGTGATTACAAGGGCATGAGGAGTGTGTGTGTTTTTCAATCAACATAAGTCAATTCGCTAAGTTGGCTGAAACATGCTACTAAAGGAAGGCGACATCGTGAAAAATCGCAACTTAACTCTCGGGGAGAAAATGGTCAATTGATATGAATAAAATTATAAATCGAATGATGTTTAGAACGGCAATTTTAATGTGCACACTATGGTCACTTTTGTTCCTCGCTCCATTTTTGCGTTTTGTATGAACTCCGTTTATTTTAGTGGAAGGACACCGTTGTTTCTTGTTCAATACGTTGGCTATAGTTCTCTTTTTTTCTAAGTTCGACCCTCTTTGTAAACGTCTCTTTGAACACACCACGAGAATCGCTAGTTGAAATGCTGAGAAAACTGGATGACGCACAATGATTTCACAGACGATCAATCCAATTTCATCCAAAATTATTTCTACCTGGCTCCTAGTTCCCAGACTAGCATCTGTATTTACGTGCAAGTACTTGCGACTATAACCTTACAGGGATAGTTGACTTCTCATGAATTATGACTGAAGACTGAAGTTACTGGTAAGTCGCAAGGCGTTTAATTATCCGATTTTTCCACACCCTGAATTCGGATGGCTGCCCGTGCCCTCCAGTTGACCCGGAAGTCCGGCCGGCGGGCTGACCAAGACTATTATTTTCTTTCGATAATAAGATATCGTAAACTATCATTTATACTATTTTGCAACAGAATCATTATTTGTAATTTAATTATGCAATTTTTGGCATAAGAAACAGACATAATTTGATAAAAATATGCAATATTGGTAACTTGTTATTATTTCTTTTGATTAAAAACAATTTTACTGTTTACAAGTTTAGTTGTAAATGTTGTTGTTCAGCTGGGACATAGTTTATGTATAAAACGTTGTTTTGACATCAGCTTTATTATCTAAACGGAAGCTTTCAAGAGCACTTCCCAGCCAGCAATTCGTCCGGGATGCGGTTGGGGACGGTCGGGATATGCTCCGGATGTCCCGACTTGTCCCTACCGGGTTGGGTAGGCTTGGGTTGTCCCAATCGATACCGGACCTCGATGGCCGGCGGTAGGGGCATAGGCGTAGGAACGTTTTCAAAAGTGGGGGGGCCAGGGTCCCAGAGGTCCAAAACCTAACCTACCCCCAAAATCCGATTTCTCCTCGGATTTCGGCCACTTTGTTTTCGCAAACATGCTCAGAGGTAAAAAAAAATCGAGACAAAAAAAAGAAAAAAAAAATTGTTGAAATTTCAGGGAGTCTCCCGTCCATAAACTCAAACTGATGGACGCGTTCCCCTGTCCTCCGCAGCCGTTGGCACCCATGCAAATTCCAGAGGCATCCAGCAACTTTTTCATTACGAGCAAGCGTGAAACGTGCAAAGCGAGTCTTTTCAATATACCTATAAAAATCAGCATGAACGGCCCAGCTAGGCTCAGCCAGGCCTATAACGTTTTTAAGAGGTTTTATATCAGCGACCACTGCAACTGGGCTGATTGCCTATCACTTTTCAGAGGCCGGTGTGGGACTTTTAGACGGTCTGGGCCTTCAGAGGCCAGTTTAACCCTCCACGGCCCGGTCCTATAGGTTTTCTACATACGCGCTGGCCGAGGGGGCGGGGGGCGGGTACGACCCCCCTCGCTGTTTCGCCCCAGGTGGAGCTAGCGCGTCGCGGTAAAACGAGCGTGTGCGCCGTTACGAGACGCAGAGATCGATACCCGATTTTATGGTCCTAGGTCAACCGGTGACCTCTGACACCGTTCCGTGCTTCTATCCTCAGGATACTGAAATCCTTCTCCTCCACACCGCCACCCCCCTCCGGGCTGGACAGGCAACTTTATCTCATGCGGGCTGCTCCCTTGGAGCGGCACCGCTGCTCCCGAGGGAGCGCACCCCGTAGCCGAGTGCAGTGAGTGCCTTGGGGCTGGGTGGCCTGTCCTCTGGACGGGCTCAGCCCCGGCGACTCACTAGGGTGCCTGCCCAGTGCCCAGACCAATGTCTCCCCCTATATCCTATCATCCTTCCGGCTCTGAAATGGTCTCATTGGACCGAAAGGGCCTAACCCAACAAAACAAACAAAAACCGGTGACCTCTGAGGTCAGGTCAAGTGCCTCAAGGCACGGTTCCGTTTTTGGTGAATAACTTCGCAAAAAATGGCCGCAGAGCCGCGATTTTGCCAGCATCGTGTTCGCCTCTCTCAGGCGCGTCGAATGATATGCTTTTTGTTTGGGTGAGGTAAACTTAGGGTGTTGACCTCGGGTCACGGTCAGGTCGGCGTCCCCAGGTCACGAAATTGGTCGAAGGAGGTCATGTCGCATATCATTCGATTCGGCAGGTCTTCTTGAGTCCATAGGTGGCTTTCCCGACTCGCTAGCTCAATTTGATCGGTACCTAGTTATTGACGAAAAACTAATAAGACCCTTATAACTTCATAAATGACGTCGCGCAAGGTCAACATTGCAAAAGTGACGCATCGAACCTTGCAAGGAGTGCATGAAATCACGATTCGGTGTGCTTGAGATAGTTGGAGATCGATCGTTCCCGGCGCCAGAAAAAGTTTTCAGTTTATCCCCATTGACTTATACCTAATGGTGAGGTCACGAAAATGACCTGACCTCATATGAACTTTAGGAAAAATCCGAGATATACATTATACAAGTTGAGAGACTCCTATTGGATACTAGGTCCTCCAAGGTTCATTTCCCTGTGAAATCTCCTCTGGCAGTGAGGGCGTTGCGAAGTTGCGACATCTGAAGACCGTGCAGAGGTTCACTTATGACCACATGGGTCAGTGACCTGATCTGACCCGAAAATGCGGTTGGTGTCGAAAGATCCCGTTTGATTCAAAGGTCAGGTATGCCAAGCTTCAGCTCTCTATCGCCGGCGTGTTCGGAGCTATCGCAAAAAAAAAACTATGGAGGGGCAGCACC